GCGAACCTTTGAGGAAAATATTAGAAATGATATTTCTTTATTAGATTTAAATGAGAATTTGAATTTTAACCGGACATAATGACGAAAAAGAATTCATGTAGCCGACCCCACGTAGTGTGACAAAGACTTGATGTTGCTGTTGTTATTGTTGTAGTGTTTTGCTATGATAAAATAAAAAGAACATTTAATTACGTACGTACCCAACCGGTCATCTTGACTCGGTTCACAAAGTCAAGGTCACTCCAGCAGGTCTCGTCATACGCTGCTGCTTGGTGTTCCTCCACGTTCACTGTTCCTGCAGAAGACGTGAATATCACTCGCTTTACGCTGCCGGCATTTTTGCAAGACCTCAAGATGCCCAGCAAACCGTTGATTGCCGGTTGTATCACTTCATTCTGCACTCATCGATCCAACTATATATTAGCTTTATAGATATATAAATAAATATTTCAGAAAATAAAATTAATAATATGCATGTGAAAATATATTAATAGCACTTTTTCCAAAATTTTTATATTTCATTATGTATCATTTTTTTATTTTGGTTTCATGTTTGTATAAGAAAAATATTTTAAAAAACAGTAAGAAAGTTATCCCAAACAAAGCATTAGTTTAGGTAAGCATATATTTTCTTACTAAGTTTTGAAATTAAAAGTTAATATTTTTGAAATTAAAACTTAATATTAAAGGGAAATTTTATATTTCTAATATTAAATAATAAATTAAATTTTAAATGCAATATCAGCAAGAAATACACCAATAAATTAGAATACTAAATACATACACTTGATTTCTCTCAAAATAAATCTAAATTTAATTATAACTCAGAGCATAAATTCAACTCATTTTAATTAATTATGAAGCAGATAATAATTATTATTATTTGTATTGATAATTATGAAAAGATTAAGAATCAATTTTTATTCTATATATTTTATAAATACTTTAATTATAGCTCATCTAAGAATCGTAGGACAGCTTTCTAGCTCTCTTCTTTATTTTTACACATTAATCATAATTTTATTTGACTATTATTTTTTCACTATATTTTAGAAATTTGTATGCTGAAAAAATATTTTTTTTTTCGAATTAAAATAGTTTTACTCATAGTAATTTCATGACTAAGTTTATAAAATTTTGAAGCCATTCAAATTGGCTCTAAGAATTAAAAAATAAAAAGCAACTTAAATCTTATTTAATTTTAGGCTGGTTCGATTTATAAAAAGAAAAAGAAAAGAAAAAAGCTAAACCTCAGGGTCTTTGGATTGAAAATTCATGGGAGTAGCGACGTGGAACACTCCAATGCTGCCACGTATCACCTCGTCGAAGCTTCCTTCGGTGCCATTTAGATCTGCTTTCCAAATGCTGAGCAGTTCATTGGAGCGCGGGAGATCCAGCAAAGGCTTCACTTTCTTGAGATTTGCTGAAATTTTACATATATTAATCTATGTAATTAGAGGGCCTAATTAAGCTGGTTATGCATTAATTTATAGTAAACATATGGCTTTTTTATGATTAGGGTTAGTAATTATGCTGAAAGAATTAAATTTGCTCAATAAATGCTGATAATTTTTTGATGTGGAGGGGAGAAATGTAATTATATGAATTTGATTGTATCATATTAAAAAAGAGTGAAATCCTTAATTTTTGAGACAATCGAAATAAAAAATTAAATTATTCTTAAATTACAGATCAGCAATAATAAAGTTAATCTTACATTTAGGGGAAAGATATAAAAATTAATTGTGTAGAAAAAAATATTTTTATAAGAAAGTAGTAGTTTATTATTTTTTATATAAATATTAAAATAAAATTTAAGAAGCCAATATAAATATTTCTTGTAGATTTATGGGGTATACTCACATTTGGAGCATTAGAGTCAAAGTTAAGTGATAAACTTAGTAGCTCCCATCTCAGCTAGGGTTTTGCCATCGCTCACCCTTGCGGGGCTGCTATGGTTGCTGGATAACTAGATAGGTCGTCTGCTAGGGGCTTCGCGCGTTCCCTCCTTGTGGGGTGTTTCTTCTAGGGAAGTTCTTTGATTTTCCTTCTATGTATGATTGTTTAGTGTTTTCTGGATTATCTACCTCCGGTCGTATGGCCGGATTGGAGGTAAATCGGGTGCATGATCCTAAATTTTTGGATGGTATTACCAACTCTCGCTCTTTGTAGAGGCCCTATATGGGGCTTACTAGGCTGTGGAATTTCTAGCCCTCAAGGCCTATTCTCACCGGGCTTACCGTCTCTATGATTTTTGGAGAAGTTTTTGGCTTTGGCGGCACTGTTTCAGTTTTCATTGATTGGAACTTTCTCCAATCGTAGACCTTCAATCGATGATATTTGGGTTTTGGTTATGTGTGTGTTGGATGTTGGGGGTCTATTTTTCATGTTGGGTTGCAGCTATTTTCTCTTGCAGGTTTTCGTGGCTCCTGTGGCTTCCTCCCATATGGATGGACTTCCCTTCTACATGCTTATGTTATATTTGGTTAGGGGTTTCTTTCCCTGTTTTGGGTGTTGCTTTGTATTGGGATGCTGATCTTTCTCCACTGTAGGTTTTTGTTCGAGGCTCTTGTGGTTCTTCCTAAATGGATGGTCACTCTTCTGCTTCTGTTAGTTGTTTGTGGGTCCATGGTTCTCCATTTCGATTTTGCCTGCTTGTTATGTTTTTATTTGTCATTTTTAAATTTTCTTTTTGCTGCTCTATTGTAATAGGTTGAACCAATGACTCATAGGTTTTTCATCAATTGTTGTATTTTTTAGAGAGCTTTTGGTTCTTTAAGGATTTGTATTTTTCCTTAAATTTAGCGTAGGCCCCAATGACGTGTTTCCTCAAAAAAAAAAAAAGTTATACTCACACTAATAAAATATATCTAAATAATTTAGAATTTTATTTAAGATTATGACCATAAACTATAAACTATTTTATAAATGTATTATAAATGTATTTTGACATTCAATAGCTTTCTTGTTAGAATTTGTATAAAGTGTCATTAAATACGCCTATAGTTTTCTGTTTCTTAATTATTATTATTTTTATATAGTTAGTAATAGATCTTCACATGATTATAATTAATGTCAAAATACATTTATATAAGAAAAAATATATATATTTCAATCATTAGTAATAAATAATCTTAGCCATGATATGATATGATATGACCTACAATAATAGAATGAAATGTGATCATAGAGGGAGTTCATTAACACTCACTTGGATCTCTCACTGTTGCCCTAACCTCATAACCCTTCTGAAGAAGCTTCATCACCAGCCATGAACCCACGTAGCCACTGGCTCCAGTCACCACTACTGGACCCTTCCTCTCTTTCTCCATTTCAGTTCAACTCATGCACAGCACAACGATGAGATCAATTTATATAGAAAGAAATAAACTTGTCGTCTGCACCAGCAGTAATGACACCAGTTTAAGCATCTGACACGTGGACATTTTGCTTGGGTTTTGTTGGCTGAGTTCGATCGGCAAGTCTTTGAAATTCTAACTTTCAAACGATGAATCGAAATCGTTGACCGTCGGATAGGGAATGGCGGTTGAAATTGGGGCGTGGTTGCTGACTGACTGTTTGGACGCAATTATTTGAAAATTAGATGTATTTAAAATATGATGTTGAGTAGAGGTTTTATATTTGAAAGATTTTTTATTATTTCTAAAGTAAATTTAAGGTTTTTTTTTTTAATTAGGGTTTTGCTTTTAAAATAAAATTATGTTTGGCAATGATGGCGGCCAATGGGAGTTAAACGGCGGCGGCGACTGATTGTAATGGTGGTGTTCGATGGTGGTTGGATAAATGGTGATTGATAGTTATTTTTATTGTGGGTGATAGTTGGCGATAATGGTGGTGAATAGCAACATGTGATGGAATATGACGATGGTGGTTAGTAGTTGGTAGTTGGAAACAATAGTGGCGAATAACAACAGTGATAGAGATGACGACGGTGAGTAGATAGTGGTGAGTGATGACTATTAACAAGCGGTGGCAAACTATGGGTGTCAATAAATGACCTGACTTGTTAGTTCGATACAAACCTGCCTAGAAAATTTGAGTTTGGTTTGACCTGTTTGATAAATGATTCTGATTTGGTTGACCTAGGAACCCTCTTTTGATCCTAAAAAACACTAGTTTAATTTTTTTTCTTGATTTTTTTTACAGGTGGTTATAGTATTCTTATTTTTTACAAATATCCTAAGATTTATTGCTAATAAGTCATAAAAAAATTAATTAAACATGTTAAAAGGTCCGGTTCGAGTTTGTCTTTTTGATTTATTAATTTTATTTTAATTGGTCTTTTTGATTTGTTTATTAAATGGGTTAGAATAGGATTGACTTGAGTCGAATCATGTCAATTTCGGGTTGATCCTAACCCAACTCGTCAACCTGTTTTGAAACCCCATGGCGACGGCAATGTCTTTTAAAATTTAACTTTAAATTTATTTTTCTAACCACCGAATGTTTAAATTCTTAAAACCCCTGTATTTTTAAAAGATAAACGAAATAATTATGTCCAATGTTCACTTATAACAAATTAAATATTATAGGATAAAATTAATCCCATTTTATATTATAAAAAATCTATATAGTCCTCAGATTTGTATTTGTCCATAAGAAAATAAATTTTGATTTGGGTATTTTATACGATGCTTCATGACTGATAATTTTGGGCCATCAATTAGAGATTTAAGATGTCCGTCTGAAATTGGAGTAATTATTGTGTCCGGACACCGACGCGTCCAGAGACTAATAACAACACGTCACGTCACCTGAAGCTCGGTACCGAGCACTCAGTATATGTTCGAATTTTCAATTTTTTGTCCGGACGTAATAACTTTTCCTGAAATTGAGAGGTGGAGAATGAACTCATCGTGAATAAAATATCATAAAGGATCCTAGGAAAGAGATATCTGCATTGAATTTATATAATCTGAGAGATAAATTGTGTCCAAGCAACTAAAATTTCTTTTGAAATAATTTACCATATAGAGATGAGAAACTTGTGCAAAGAGATTAGTGACTCTATGCCTTTAAGAGAAAGGTAGATTACGCCACATGTCTATTACAACAAACTTTTTTTTTTTAATAGTTTATTTATAAATCTGTCTTACACAAATTTCCATAAATGATTTAGTAATAAAATAAAGTTGAAATGAATAAGATTTTAGTAGTTTGTTTGTAATAACCAAAAATTTAAAATAGATTAATTTTAAAATATAAAAATTTTGGATAATAGTTGAGCGGCCTTAGAATTGTGCGAGGTGGCTTTTCTCTAATCTTAAGTAACCAGAATTCCTGCATGCAAAGTTGTGGTGCTGTGGTTTGTAGCACCGTGATGTTAAACACTAAATGATATATTTTTATATCTTAATTTAAATATCATGTAGTATAATAAATCACTATGCTGAGCAAAATAATAAGAGTATAAAAGTTATCCAAAGAGTAAAATTATTAAGTATTCAAATGAATTGAAATTCATATCACAGAATAACAGATTACATATTTCTCCGAACTCAGATAGAATCTCGTAGGATTTTGACATCTTATAACTCCCTTTGTACTTATAGCGCTAGAACATATTTGTGAGCACTAGAATATGGTATTTTCAATCAAAGCATGTCTTATAAGTATCATAACATGGCTTTTTAGCCACTAGAGCATAGCTTTTTAGCTACCAAAAAATGTCATATAGGCATAAGAATATCTTACTTCTTTTACAATAACACTTTCTAGAACTTCACAATTGCACATAAAACAATCATATAAACATACATTTCATCACATTGTTGCAATTAAAGCATAATTAATGAGGTCATATGAGAATTGTATAATTTTTTTATAATGATAGGCCATGAAAATTCTTACAGAGTAAAATTCATAATTTCAAAATATAACTAAATTAAAAAAGATTATATAAAACATCTTTTTAAGACTTAGATCATACTACAATATTATTTTTTAGAGTCTAAATTATTTTCTATTCAATAAAAATTACACAAATTTCAAAAACCCTAGTATCAAATTTCTAAAAACATATATAGAATATTTATAATCACAATCTCTACCACGTAAAAAAAGCTACGTGATAAAAGTAAGTTATGTAATATTTATTATGTTTGAATTTTACTAAAAACGTGTTATTTTAGTTATTTTTGTACAATAAAATTGAAAAATGATGAAATTACGAAGGAACATTCACGCTAGAGGAAACATCATTGTTGTGCTACATTTAACACTGTCGAGATGTCAGTTTTGGACATTGCAGTTCCATGCTCTCTATTTGTGAGTGTTGTAATGGAAACACATCCAACACATTATCGTTTGAAGTGTCATAGCGTTAGAAAGCTAGCTTGGTAGTGTTTGGTTCTCATGAAATTGAATGTCGCGGTGCCACACATTTCAATGGCCTGATACAATTTTGTCCACTTGGTCGCCGTAATGTTCCAATTTCTACAATGTCGCGGCATAATAGTTGTAACTTCTAATGGCCAAATTATATTAGTGAAAAGTCGTGACTGTTCACTAAAAAACTATTCCATGTCATCAAGTATTGTGACGGTGCAAACATTTCAGCATCGAGGCACTAGTTCACTTTCAAGTGTTGTAGCTCCACACTTTCGAGCGTCGTAGCGCTAGATGCCCTTTTTGTACTTTTTTTATATGATAATCTTTATTAATTTTAATTTACATAATTAAATTAATTAGTTAATTCAATTTCAGTTTTTTAATTTATTATAAATTTTATGTAATTATATAGTTTAAATATAAAGAAGCAAGCAATCATACTTATTTTGTACTGTAGCATTATGGTTGAAAGTTTGATAAATTTTGAATCCAACTCATATCAAATCCTGCAGGCAGCACACGGGCGCGGGCATACCAGCAGGCATTCGGGCTGCAAGCGGAGCAACTCGGTGGGAAGGCAGTAGGCAGTGCAGGAAGTCGCCTGGGAGGGCTGGCAACGTGCCTGGGCATCTGGTCAGCAGGCAGTCGAGTAGCTCGGCGGGAAGAGAGCGGGCAGCGCCCGAAGGCGTTCAGGTTAACTGGTAGGGCGCTTGGGAAGCCGGGCAGCTAGTCGCGGGAAGGCATCTAGGCGTTTAGCGTGTAGCTTGGGTGGTCGGGCAGTCGGGCACAAGGTTTTTTGAATTTTTTTTAATTTTCTAGCGGCCAAATGGCTCTGGATAGCTACCAGAATTTTTTATTGCCGAAAAAGGCCACCAGAAAAATTTTTCCAATGCGTATTTTACTGGCAAAATTTTTTGTCGAAAAACTGCGTGTAAATTCTAAAGTCGTCGGAAAGTGATCAATTTTTGTCGAAAAATGCTTCTGGTAATAGGTGCTTTTGCTATAGTGAGGGGTGTTCAGTCACTTTTATAAAATTTAGTATTTTTCAGTGTGCGTATCTATTATCCTCTTAGATTAAAATCTAAAGAAAGCTAGTGAAGTATAAGATGCAACATTTTGGAGTGTTTAGACCGTGTTTTATTGAAGCAACTCTCTAAGTGAAGGAAGGATTATAGAGGATAAACTTTGATCCTAATTAGTGATAATATTTTACTAATTCCTTTGTACTTTAATTCTTTAATGAATATGATAAAAATGAGTTTGCTTATCTTTTATTCTATGTCTAGCTAAATCTCTTATTTTGAATTGATGATAAGAAGAACATATTAAAGTACTAACGAATACACTTATTCTCTAAGATTTAATGATGTTTTCAATTATATCTCGTTCTTCATTTAATACATATAGTCGCCATATATGTAGTTAAAATCTAGTGTGATGTATAATCTCGATGTATTCATTGAATGCAGGAACAATTAAAAAAATAAAGATAAAATATTGGCATTCCTTGATATAGGATGTTTGAATATTCTAGGTTCTTAAAAAGATATTATAATTATATGAGGTCAGCATATATTTTTTTCATCCCTACAAGCTCAATAGAGATATAGGAAAGTACATGCTCTTAATCATATCTATAATTAAGAATTTTATTAGAAAAATATGATATTTGCAATCATCAATCTAAAATATTTTATTAAATATTGTATCAACTATTTTACTATTTTTATCAAGTGATAGAAACATCAAAAATATTATTTTTATTTTAGTATGATGATTTATGCATTGAAAGTAAGTATAACACTTCCTCATGGGTTTGAAACTCTGTCTAATCACTTGATTTATGTATTCATCATATAAATTTAAGTGGGGCTTCATTGTTAACATATTAAGAAAAACTTAAGCATTACTCAACATTGACAAGCACAAGCATTCATTACACAGACTATAACAAAGCCTTGCTTGCCTACAAACATAAGTTTACACACATTCAACCATCAACTTTTTGGTGCTATT